ACCAAGTTGTATGATGAGTGACGAGAGAGGAGAATTCCTCTCTGCCTTCTTGGGCGATCAGTTTACATCCTGAAGCACAAGATTTGATTACCCCTTGCTTAGTATGGAAATGTTGGTTTTGGCCATTAAATTATCCAATCCCTTTTTAAAAAACTAGGTATTTTGTTTGATTTTGTGAGTTCCTGTGGCTATGAATGCCACAGGCCAGCGCATGCTGTGTGAGCAAAATGTCCCTTTTGTTGCAAGCCAACCTGCTTCTCTCTGTGATGCGTGCCCTGTTGCTCCCATGCCTTGGACAGGGTGGAGAGGAGGCTGCCTCCTGCACTGCACCCTTGGAAGCTGAAAAACTGCATTTTAAATTCTCTTCTTTCAGTGGCATGCTTTTAGCTTTGGCAGTTTTACAGTGAAAAAAAAACAAGCTGTCTTACTCTTCCAGTACATATTGAGCCATGAATCTTCAGGTGAAAAAACTTTCCTACTTGCATCATACATTACATACAGCAAAGTTTTCAGCACTAACAGTTTCATCAGTAGGCAACTGGAAAACTACTGGATTCAGAGAGGGCTTGCTTGTAACTTCGTTAGTGTCTCTAGCAGGTAGTGGCTTGGAATAAGGTAAATGCATGGTTAACAGGTTACCTTTCGTGTAAGGGACATGTGGTTCCTGACAGTGAAATAGTAAAAGACTTGCAGTGGGTTAATTTGTTGTTTGAGTGACTGTTTTACCAACATACAGCCTTGTAAGCCAGGACAGACCCTATCAACAGTCGGACTGCATCAGCAGTGCAAGCCAGTTGTAAGAACTGTTAATTCTTCTTAGATCTGTCACAAGGTTAGAGAGACAGCAAGAAGATTTATGCTCCTGAACAGATATACTCTGTCTAGCCAGGAGCCCTCAAAGTTAATGAATTAATGAAGGATAAGGACTTTTTTGTATGTGTGTGAAGAGTATTTATTTATATCTCTCTGTATATAGCTATATATATTAGCACAGCTATATATTAAAAGGCCCCAGACCTGCAAATTTACTGAATTATACAAGTTACAATTAAAGTAAAATATATGGTATATATTTATTATTCATATCCAAAGCAAAGCAAACTGGTTGTAGTACGGTATTAACAGGAAATGTCCAGGCTATTAGTTATTGAAACATATATGCCTGTGCTACTGCTGAGTATGCCTGTATCCAGCTGAGTTCCTGGTGCAAGTAGTTTAGCGTTTCTTCTTCTACACTGAAGGCATCTCCTTTTAAACTCTTTTCTGTTGTTAATGCATTATATATTTAATTTTTATCAGGAATGATTCCTCCCTCTTTTAACAACCTGAGTATCACAGCAACCTAATTAGCAGGCAGATATTCAGGAGAGAATTAAAAACACAGTGCTGGGAACGGGGCAGTTAGCTGATGGAAAAAGCCTCTCCTTGAGCACGCCAGAGCACATTCACACATGCATAGACACACACGCACAAAATAATATTTTAGAGACCACCTTGAGCTGTAGGCAGTGATGAATATTTTAAAGAGATAAATCCCCATGTTGATCACTTGTGTGAATATAGCCAGATTTCTCTGCTGAGCAAGGCTGTTTCCTAGCTAAAAAATGTACCTTAACTTATGGGAAACATGTTAAATTCCCTTTTGGGGAGAAACTGAGCAGAACGTAGTAGGTTTTATAGTCACCTGCTCAACTGTGTGAAACTCTCTTTATGCAGAGAAGGCAGCGAGGGTCAAATGTTACACGCAGCTTTCAGGGTTCCTGTGCTACAGTGAGTTCCTAGGATACTGCCTGCCCGCAGCCAGCTATGTTTGCTGAGCTCCAGCATCGTGACCGAGGTGCCGAGAGGCAGCAGCAAGCTGGCAGCTCCCCCGGCCAGAGCGGGGCCCCGCAGCCCTCCGCACCCCTCCTGCCTCACCTGACGAACCTCACCTGCTCCCACGCTGTCACTGCAAACCCTTCAAGGCACAAACGCTGCCACAACTGTTGAGCTCACACGCGGGACAAACACGAATGCAAGTGTGTGAACGGGGAGAAGCTCTGCTTTACAAATAACAGTAAGAACTGTGAAATTCTTCTCACATGGTTAGGATTTACATAGCCTCTGGGAGTAGTTAAACTGGGTAGGGAAAAAGAGATTTTCAGCATTCACACAGCTGGGCACCTTAAATGCACCATTTTTGTTTGCCCTGCAACGTATTTGCATAGAATTGCTCGACACTCGTAACAAAGCACTGGCCAGAGAGCAGCCCGGCGGGGCCCTATGGGGTGCTGGATTTCCCAGCAGTAGCCAGGACAAGACATTTCAAGAGAAGGCAGAGGAAACCCAACACAGGCAGTTGCAGAGTACTCACTCACCAGAAGTATTTTCCTCCCTCATTCAGAGTGGTTTCTGGCTCATAGAGGCCTTGGAGCTTTTAGTACATCTTTTGTTTCTCTTTTAAATGTGTGTGTGGTCATTACCCATATAAATGTCACTATCACAATCTTTTTTAGCTATTATCTTTCCAGTGAAAACAACTGCACTCTTTTTATTCTCCTTTCAGACAGAAGCATTTCCAGGCTTCTAATAGCATTTCTAGCCTGTCCAGGACAATGTCTCCGTGTGCGCTGTTTGAGGGGGCTGGTGACCATTTTGTAATTTTTGGTTGTGCTTTGCTGGCACTCGCTTGCAGCCTTGGAAGAGATGGTAGCAAAGGGTTTTCTGTCGGTGCCAGCAGATAACGTCAGCCCCATCTTCATGCAACGGTTTACCACAGACATGCATTTGAGAGCATTTGCAAAAGATACAGCTTGTAGCTGGGCTGCACGACAGCTCATTTGTGTTAAACTTGAGACCTTTGAGGAAAAACTACGGCCACATGGGAGCTGACCTTAGCTGCTTCTCAGCAAATAAACTCAGTATTTTTCCCCAAGCATCTGCTCTTCTGCAGTTGACTCCAAACAGCATCTTCTGTCTCTGACCTGAAGAGGGCACAGGTGGCCCCTGCACTCCCCTCATCCCTTTTTAGCACCTCTGTAGCTCCAGGACCTTACCCTCACGCAGGGCCAGGGCCAGCCTAATTCTGCTGCTGAGCTCTCTTTAATATGCACTTAAACCAAAATATAGGTAAGATTTTTTCTTCTTTACTTGCGGACTCTTAAAATTCAACTTTAGTCCTCTTTATTTTACGTATTGCTGGTCGTGACTTATTCAGGCGGGGCATTATCTTTATTACAAAAGAATTATTGTCCAGTTCCTAAATATTTGACTTGAAAATACCCTTGCCTTCGCCCTTTTAACAATACTGGTTTAACTGTTCAGTTTAGCTTGGGGATATTCAGAGCCTCTGTGGTTTTTATTATAAGCCTTATTTTCCTACTTTGGGAGATGAAATTATTTCAGCATAGGATGAGCTTTGACTGGTTGATTTATTTAAGCTCCTTTTAATAGAGTGTCACTGTGACAGCTTTTGGCAGTGTTCCTCTGCCTCTCATGTTAAATTTGATGAAGCTGTTGTCACCATTATTTCACAGTTCATCTATATTTACCTCTTGAACACTCCCATGTAGTGCTTAGCCCTTAAGTTTAGCACAGCCTCACTCCCCAAGTTTAATCCTAACTGCCCCAAGAAGCAGTCATGTAAAGTGGTGGGGAAATGCTATTGCAAATCATGTTTTATGGTGTTTAAACGGCTTTTGCAATGGTAGAGGAAGACACTAGCGACAGATTTAATTTCATTTTGAGTTGATTCTTTGTACACCTGCAGTGGTTTGTGCTCAATACTTTCTTCCAGCTAGGTGACGTGTTGTAACCTGCAGGTATTTTATTTCTATGCCTCAGGACCAGTAGCTGTAAAATTTCAGAAGGGTGGCTCTCAGACAGGTCTATTTTCTCATGCCTGAAGATTCTACTGCTTCTCAAAGAGTCGCTGCTTATGTTTAGCAAAAGCTCCAGAGGTGGCAGAGGGTACATGGTGAACATAATGTCCACAGAGCCCGCACAAGTGACAGCGTAGCACTGCGCTGTGGAGCAACGGGCCATTTGTCACAGCTCCTGTAGGAGGGTAAAAGATCCGGTTCTACCTGTTCACTGCTTTATAGGGTTAGTTTCACACAACTCTAAAAGAGGCTTTTCTGTGAATGGCTAGGGTTTTGGTCCCCTCTTCTGCACCATGCTGGGCCAGCTGCTGTTCCATCCCCTGGTGGGACGCTGGTGTTGTGGCACTGTAGCTTCTCTGTTCCACTGGTGGCAGAGGATGCCCAGGGACTTCATGGAAGTGGGTTAGTGAGGCTTCTCCTTGGCTGCTCCAGCTCCTTGTGGGAGTATTGGGTGAGGGTCTGTGCCCCAAGCAGGATTGCTCCAGCACTGCTGTGCTGGCCTGAGTCCGAGACATCTGGGAATTTTCCATCTCTCAGGTACAGCCACTTCTCAGTCTTCCACTGAGCAGTACTGCCACAAGCAAACACTTATTCAGGCTTTTTCTTTGGAAGGATGGTACCATCTGTTGCATCTGTATTTCTAAGTCTAAAAAATCCTACATGAGGAATAACTGAAACTAATGCTTTTCATTGTCTTGGCTGAAACTTGGATGTAAAACTTTACCCTGTTATAGCTATGAAGACCCTTAAAAATTTACTTGTATATACTCGCTTTAATGACATTCTCCACTTCTGTTTTCTCCACATTTCTTGGCTCATGAAAATTTGAATTAAATCTGAGCTATGTCTAAGTTGCTTACTGAGGAGTGGTGTCGTTTTGATCCTGTCATTATGGCAAGTACAGAAAGTCAGTTTTAAGGAAGAGAAATCTTTTCTAACTCCCTTTCCTCCTAATGAATACCTGAAAGCAGCACTGTGTTGTTATCGTTTTGTTGGGGTTTTTTTACAATACAGTTTCTAACTGCAAAATAAATGTTTCTATAGTTTGGTCATCATGGAAACAGGCCTTCCAAGTATTTCATTTAATTTTCCCATACTGTGCTGTGATATGTGACATGTTTCTGTATTTTCTTTTTCTAGGCTTGCTCCCAACATAATCTCGCCACTTGTCAGCCCCCTGAAAGCATTAGTTCCACCTTCCCTATTGCAAAAACACAGCTCTCCATCATCGCACAGCCAGTCACCAAATGGGCAGCAATTTTCTGGAGTACCAAATAAACCATACGCTCAATTTCAGAACCAGTCTGTACAGCAGGGATCTCAAGGTAATTCTTCCTTTTTTTTCTCTTTCTCTCTTTCTCTCTCTTTCTCTCTCTTTCTCTTTCTCTTTCTCTTTCTCTTTCTCTTTCTCTTTCTCTTTCTCTTTCTCTTTCTCTTTCTCTTTCTCTTTCTCTTTCTCTTTCTCTTTCTCTTTCTCGTTCTCTTTCTCTTTCTCTTTCTCT